CATAATATAATGGTTGTTGGTCGGACTTTCCCATCACAGTTTAATGTCTCTGAAATACACAATTAATCAAATGTTTGACATTTTGAATGAAAAATGACTTTTATCATGATTATTATCAAAATGGTTGCCAATTATTTCTGTAACTGCTTATCTTGTATGGGGTCCTGTCAATTAAGTAAAAGTAAAAGTTCTTTTTTTGCAGAATGGACCATTTCAGAGTGTTTATTACATTATTGAATTATAATAATTGATGCATTAATGTGTTCAGAATTGTTTTTTATAATATTAATAATTATGATAAAATTATGATTAATTCCTTTATTATATTTTGTATTATTAATCAGACTCTGGAAAGTAACAACAGTTGCCTAAATCCCACACACTGGACTTTAAAGTAATATTTTCAGCTGTACTTGTATAAACTGTTGGGTAGATTACTTTATAAAAAGCATAATATTTTATTAGCATCTCAGATGTTCTGTGTACAAAAACCTGGATTTGTAAAGTAGCTTATATCTGAAGGTGTCAAGTAGATGTAGTGAAGTAAAACATTTCTTCTGAATGGAGCTGAAGTATAAAGTGACATGAAAAGAAAAGACTTACAGGTACCTAAAATGTGTACAACATAAATTAAAATATGAAAATGTGTTTTCCAGGTGCAGGCCAGCAGTGGACATTCGAAGTATGCAGGTCCTCTGGACTGTGCAGTGCGGCTCTATAAGGCACAGGGGATCCGCAGTGTCTACAAAGGGACTGTTCTTACTCTAATCAGAGGTAAACATCACTGTGACTGTGTGTCTGTTCAGATGTGTTACCTATATAAAAGTACCACAGTGTAAAAAAAAACTCTTTTACAACTAAAAAGTCTGTGTGTTGAATTTCATTCAAAAGTACAAAAGTATTAGCATTAAAATATATTTAGAACACAATAAGTAAAAGTACTCATTATGCAAAATGGCTCCTCTGAGAGTAACGTGTATTATATTTCTGGACTGTAGTAAGTGATGCATTAAAGGTCCGGTTATAATCACTGCGTGTGCACACGAGGTCTGAAAGAGGCGTACGTAACGCACCTCAAAACTGTACTTGAGAAAATGTACTTAGTTGATTTCTGTAGGTGTCGTGTGACATCCAGCAGAGGAGAATAACTGAATGTGTGGGATTGTTGAATCCGAAGGGCAGTCATGATTTACAGCCTCACGTGTCCTTCTGTCTCTCTGTCTCTCAGACGTGCCTTCTAATGGTCTCTACTTCCTGACATATGAATACCTCAAAAACCTCCTCACACCTGAGGGTCAAAGGTGAGTTACTGTGGAGAAGCTTGTTAATTAAGTACGAGATTAATAATAATAATAATAATACATTGGATTTATATAGCGCTTTTCAGGATACTCAAAAACGCTTTACAAAGAGCAACAATAGCAATCAAAAAAAAAAAAACTCCATTGGGGGGTAGGGCAAAGTACACTGACTTCAGAGGCAGTTTTGAACAGATGTGTTTGAGGGTTTTCTTGAAGGTGGAGAGTGAGGATGAGTCTCAGATGTGTTTAGGGAGTGAGTTCCAGAGGGTGGGGGCAGCAGTGGAAAAGGCCCTGTCCCCCCGGGTGCAGTGTTTAGTCCTGGTGGTTATCTTTGATTTGAATATGTGTCTTTTAGTGTTTCTCAGCTCAGCACTCCCAAGATCCTCCTGGCTGGTGGCATCGCTGGGATATTAAACTGGACGATCGCTCTTCCTCCAGATGTCCTCAAATCCAACTTCCAGACAGGTGAGAGATGAAGTAAAGCTCTGCTCTGAGCTCTACAGAGGAACAAAGTCGTATGTTAGGAGAGGAAAAGAGACGGCGATATTCAAACTGTCTGTGCTCTGTAATCAGTGGTGGAAAAATTTAACCCGTTTCCACCGAGCAGTACAGTCCGGTTTAGTTCAGTTCGGTACACTTTTTTTCCGTTCCCACAGTGTAAAGTTGTGGATGGTACCAACAGAAGCGTTCCTTAGCGTCCCCATGTTTGGTCCCCCCTCTGTTGGGGTACCTAGCACACAGATCTGGTACTAAAAGGTGGAGCTAGAAACCCTGCAGTCTGATTGGTCAGTAGAGGACGGTCACTCTGGTTTTATGTAACCTCCGTTCAGGTTTCATCTTCAGTTCTGCACCTTGTTCTATTGTGTTCTGAAAATGTTGGTGTGCAGCCTCGTTCTGTGGACGATAAACCAGGTGCAGACTGAAGATGAAACCGTTTTAGAACGTTGCAGAGAAAAGTGTCAGCGGTGTGAACTGGCCGGTCTGAGCTCGACTCAAGATGGCTGATGGTGTCACCCGATGCTCAGCTGGTCACATGGCTGGCGGCTGGTTTTAAAGCACATTACCTGTTTCAACAGCCAATCAGCTTGTAGTGAAGTCTGCTGGTCAAGTCCTGTGGTCACTTCCTGTCAACGTTACAGATCAGAAGCACAGAGAGTCGTTGACTAGAGATGATACGCCGTCTCATGGCGGTCACTTCCTGTCAACGTTACAGATCAGAAGCACAGAGAGTTGTTGACTAGAGACGATACGCCGTCTCATGGTGGTCACTTCCTGTCAACGTTACAGATCAGAAGTACAGAGAGTTGTTGACTAGAGATGTTACACCGTCTCATGGTGGTCACTTCCTGTGAACCTGCAGATTTTTACAACGTTGCAGAACAGCACATTGCAAAGTTGAGCAGAATTTACAGGGATTGGTCAAGTTTGCCCTAACTGTTGTAATCATGACGTCCTTGAACGAGTGATAAAGTAGGAAAAGCTAGCTCCACCTCAAGCAGCTACAACATTAACATGCTGCTCTCACTCTATTTAACTTTGTGTGTGTGTGTGTGTGTGTGTGTGTGTGTGTGTGTGTGTGTGTGTGTGTAGCTGCAGACGGGAAGTACAGAGGTTTGGTTGATGTCCTGAGAACACTGCTCAGAGAAGAAGGACCTAAAGCCCTCTATAAGGGATTCAATGCTGTCTTTCTGAGAGCCTTCCCTGCCAACGCGGTAAATCTTCACTCTTATTTTGCTCTCATATTTCTTCTTGTTTACTTCCTGAAAGCCTTTTATTTACTGACTGAACTACCTGATTCCTTTCTTCCTCCGTCAGGCCTGTTTTTTGGGGTTCGAGGTGGCATTAAAGGGACTGAACGCGCTCGCACCCAGCTGGTGAAATACAGTAAATCAGTCTGTCATGAATGAGAGACTGTAACTGGTCACCAGTCTGAACCAGCCACTCCAGTTTCTCTGCACCACAGAGAGTCACACTGCACTGTGTTGAAATGTCATAAATTATTTTAGTGTTAAATACAATTTTACATTTAATTGTACAAATCATTTTTGGGGGGATTTTTGTCCTTTGTAATCAAGATTTTACACTCACTTTTTATGAGCAAAGGTACAACAGAAACGCACACTTATGAATGTATGATTTTGAGATATATATCATTTTATGTACAGTATTTGGCGAGTGATCTGAGCCTTTTCTCACATTTTAAGAGTTTACAAACTGTTTGTGATGGTTGTAAAATGTCAGATAATAAATTTGGTACCATTCGCTTCAGAATGGGTTTACATATGTTTTTAAACTCCGAGCTCTGTCAGTGTTCGTTTCTGCTACAGGTGTGTTTGACCTGACTTTAGGCCCCGGGGAGTTTTACAAGCTTTGTGATTGATGTGTTTGGAGAAAGAATTTTGAATTTGCCATGTAAATAGTGTGAGTATCCGATGTTTACCCCGGGGCTGATTACCAGAGGTAATCTGCTGGTGCTGTCTGTGTGATATTTACTTTATCAATTCCTAAGTAATTTGCACCATTAAAGCTCAATGAAAACAAATGGTCAGTGTTGCATTATGTCACATTTTGAAACCCTGTCTTGAAGAATCTCTACATAGTTTCAGTGCCTTAATATTTCTGGTGGTTTTATACTTCCATGCTGCATGTTCATAAACCGATCATCAGAAACATTCAGCAGCCCTGTTGAGGCAGATTCTAGGACACAAACTGTCTTGTGGGAGCAGATGGAGGGGCTCAATGGGACTCCACCACTCATGTTTGCCCTCTAGTGGGCCAAACTACCCATGCCTTGGCGTCCTGGTTCAGGCCAGGTGCCAGGGTGAAGGCTGCGATGTCAATCCCATACTTTTTTCTTTTTACCTTTGTAGGTACTGCAGCTGTCCTTAAAAAGTATGTACTGTTGCATGTAGTATGCACACTACTGGGACGTACTACTGTCTCATAACATTGACCCTCTTGTTTTAAATCCATTACTATGGAGATAAAACAAACGCCACTTACAGAGTTCTCCATTCGAAAACTGCAGAGATGGACATCAACCCAGAGAGCTCTGCTGTTGTTACTTTGCAATGTATGTAGTTTAACTTTAAAGTTATAACTGCACAGATTGTAGGTTCTAACATATTATATTTGTGACAGTGAAAAAATATAATATGATCACATATTTTTTCTCAGTACCTGTAACTGATGAAGATTTTTTTTGTAATTATATGTAAGTTGTCACTCTCTACCAAGGATACAGCCAATGTAAGTAAAACACACACACACACACACACACACACACACACATTGTACATATTGTATTTAACACCACAATATTTCTGCCGTCTTTATTCTAACATATCATATTGTGGTGCCATTTTTTAAATAGTTCTCGACGTGTGAGAATTTATGAAATAATTAAACTAATTTAAAATAACTAGTTCATCATATTTCATTCCAGTAATCCTCCGTAACTAGAAGCCTAAAAACAGAAACAGCAGGTCAGAGCTTTGGTTTAGAGTTCTCTCACCTTTGGCCTACTTAACAGCATCCATTACCCATAGGTCCGCGTTTCTCAACACGGAAGCGGTTTTTTAAATATGAGTTGACTCTACACACATTATCGATGAAGCCGTGGCCTGTGGAAGTAAAGCGAAAAACACACCGGCGCTCACTGCAAAGCAGCGAGTCTTGAACATTATTACTACGCTTAAACAGAAAACGACAATACCCAGAATTCTGTGCGTGACTTTCAGTTCCGGGGTCGGTGACAGTCAGCCTGTCAGCAGCAGAAAGGTGAGGTAGTTGTTTGATCTTGTGATGTTTTCTGCTTTTACTCAAGTTATGAAAGTAGTTGAATATATGAAATAAGGTCTCACAGAGCTACACGCGACGTTATGTGTTTATTTAAGGGGGGAAATAACGTCTTCCGGCTGTTGTAGCGTCACAATAGTGTCAGAGTCATGAATGAAAATGCAGTTATCTGTATGTTCACTGTTGAGTGAGTGTGTCAGTAACGTTACAGCTGATGGGAAGCTAAAACGGTAGCCTGTTATTTGATTTACCAGCTTATATGTTCATTTTTACAGAGCTACACGTACATGTGCAAATCACAGCTGAGTGTGTCGGTAAACTTGAGTTAGCAGTTAGCTAGCAGGCTAACGTCAGTTAGCTGTTGATATATTTTGACCTTAGCTCTCATTCCTGCACCGTCAAACCACCGGTGATGGAAACTATGTACTACTGTAAGCGCTGTAACTGAAATTGTATAATCACAAGTTTTGAATATTTTCTTCTCCGCTGCTTTTATACTTTTATCCCATTTAATCTCAGAGGAAAATATTGTACTTTTTACTGAACTAATAATAGAAAATATAATCAACAAATATTTTTAATATATTATTATAGATTAAACTTAATTGAAACAAGCTACCCAGCAACTCAGTTCAGCTCAACTTTATTTATATAGTACCTTTCATACAAACATGCAGTTCATTCACATTCACGTGGCATTATTGGAATGACACAAACAACTGAACATCAAGTTTTGCAAAACTATAAAATTACAACAATAGGACAATAAAATATTTAAAAAGCAAACTGAACAGAACAAACTAACAAAAAAAGATAAAAGTCCATAGAATAAAATGAAAGTAAATAAACAATGTAGAATAAAAAATGAACAGGAGGAATGAAATAAACTTAACAATGAAGACTGTAATGTTACTCTGCATTAAAAAGATAGGTCTTTAGTTTACTTTTAATAATACAGAGAAAGATCCCCATTTTAAAAGCAGACAGCACTCTCAGCAGGACTTTTGTGAGTAACATTTAAAAGTAAAGCAGTGGAGGACCTCTGTGATCTGGCTGCAACATTAAATGAAGGAACATCTCTGACATATGGAGGTGCAGGTGCATTTAAAGCTTTATGAAGTAGTATTTAAATAAGTTAAAATAAGCTCCAGCTGCACTATTAAACTGATGAACACATTAATACATAAATAATTATAACTAAATAATATAATGTACTGGCATATTTATCTGAAATGGGTTGCTATGCATAATGACTACTTTACTTGTTATTTTGTCTGTTTTTTTGTACCTTTAAGTTATAAATAAAAATTTCAACACAGGGCTTTTACCTATAACAAAGTATTTTCACAGTGTGGTATTGCTACTTTTTTCCCCAACAACAATATCTTCATTGACTTTAACAACAATAAACAAAAGACATACACACACATCCAGTATGAGTGTATATGTACATCCACAAACATGCCCAAAACTTGATATCTGAACAAAATCCACCTGTTACCTCCTTCCAGGCCTTTGATTTACCTGTCCCTGTCACACCACTACTAACAGAGGGAAATGAAATGTTTTTCTCAACTCCACCAAAAATAACTTCAGTCTCAGTGTCAGAAATATTTCTTTGTCTCTTTCGTTGTGTGCTCCATGTTCGCAGGTCGAGAGGATGCACCTATCCACAATAATTATCACCTCCTGTCAATTTATGATTGCATGGCATTCGTGAATATACACATGTGCCTACAATCGAATCCAAGTTTATCACAGTGTTCATGAAGCCAGTATAGGTTTTTAGAACCAAGGTTTTTTTATGTGTCAATCTACTCACAGATTTACTAACATTTCATGAATGAGACCAATAGACTTCAACAAAGCTCCTTTAGCCACATAAAAAAGTTCCCTCTCTGGTTGTTTCCCATTCATTTATGACTGTGTTTGGGTTGTTCCAGGTTAATGTGTGTGTGGATGTAGCATCTGTGGAATGCTGTGATGCCCCTGGAGGTCAGATGGCCATTCCCACAGTCCCCTGCTTTGGCATGGAGGGTCTCCAGCTCACTGATCATGGGGATGGTGGGCTCCTATTCCTACTTCTGGACCAGTAAGTTGCAGTATAAAATACCATATACCAGTGATGGAATGTAACTCAATACATTTACTCAAGTATTTAAGTACAAAGTCAAGGTACTTGTACTTAGGGCTGGGTGATATGGACAAAAATTCATATCTCGGTATTTTCAGGCTGACTGGTGATCCACCATATCTGTATTTTCTATGAAATGGGCAACATGTTCAGCTGCAAGTCAAAGCCATGTTTGAAATGTCACAAGCACTTTCATAAAAACAGGCTGTGATCAAAATAAAATGCAAAGACAGAGATTTCTTTACCTGTTTGAAAATATAGAGCTGCACAACATGTACATGAAAAATTATATGAAATAAAGAGCAGGGCTGTACGTTAACGTTTTGCACACAGCACTAGAGCCACAGAGGTTTAAAGGTTTGCAGCACAGGACACTAAACTATAACATGACTATAAAGTGTTGAGAAAATTCTCCTACTCTTTAAACGAAATAAACTCAAGCTACACTGCAAACATATGATGATCTTATAGAATATGATGTGTTGCTGTAGATTAAACCACACAACAGGATGTAAAAGAGTTAAAATGAGCACAGCCTGAAACATGTACAACAGTAAAAGGTCTTTCTGGAAGAAAACCCTGAAGGTTAACTTATTCCATGTGCTGTTTTATATGTGTTAGTGGAGTCAGTTTAAAGTCAACTTTACTGCACTTAAGCGGTTACTATTGTTTACATTATGTATGTGTTGTTTTTATCTTTTATGGCCAAAAAAAAAAGAAAGGGGTGGCAGCTTCTTCTGTAACAGACTGTGTTAAATGGGCAGATAATAACGTTTCATTTCGATTGCAGGCCCCTGAATCACATTGAATCAAGATCGTTTCATGGCAGACTTTGTAATATCAGCAAATATCGCGTTGTTCTTCAAAGAATTGATATAATATTGTATTGTGATGAGACTGGTGATATATACCCTTAGTAACAGTGCAAAAATGATACCTGTGTAACAGGGGACAGCTGGCAGAAATGACCCATGGGTGAATCACTTACCGTCTCTGTTATATGGCGGCCGATCTTGTCCTGTGCTTGGAGGGGCAAGGAGCTCCTGGACCTCGTTATTTTCCCAATTCCGGACATTTTCGGCTGCTGTTCCTCTTCTTTGAGTCAGCTGCTAACTGCTGCTAGCTGCTTTTTAAATTTTCCACAGTGGGTCGCACGAAAAAATTGCTGTCAAAAAGTCACACTTGTGCTGCCCATGATCCTGTCCTGCCAGCTGTCCCATTTATACAGACATTGTTTCATCACTGCCAGCGAGATGGCATAACGGTGTGAAATTCCTGCCTTGGAGAGGCAGTGTAAAAGGGGCCATGTTATGACATTGTTATTGTTTATAAAGCACTGCCGACACATATGTAAAATGTCTCACTTGACGAAGATACTGTTGTGTTACACGTCATGCCTGTCACACCTGTTTTGCCTCTGGGATGTCGGCATGCTGTCAAAAATCACACTCTGGTTCTGTTTAAAAAAAGCAAAGGCGGCGTAAAGAAGGTACTAAAGAAGGCCCTGTAACATGATCTCTGTGAAAAATGGGTATTCACTGTGACAGCAGTCCTCTCACCTGCTGATCGAACTAACACACAAGTTTTCTCCCTCTCACTCTTCAGAGTACATGAACTACTTGACGGTCCACAACCAAAAGGTTTTGTTGGACCTGATTGACCAGAGGCCCTCTGACACACCCCTCATCACTCTGTCCAATCACCAGTCATGTATGGATGACCCGCATATCTGGGGTAAGACACAGATTCACAATCTGAGATCACACAGTTTAAAACAGCAATGCCACAAAGCAGTGAAATAATCCTGTGTTTCTGACAGGCGTACTAAAGCTCAGACAGCTGTGGAGCTTCAACAAGATGCGTTGGTGAGTTTTTATCAATTCCACACCTCCTTCACTCATTTTATTTTAGAACATCTATGAACAGTGACAAGACCCAACCGATCCATTCATCTTTGTACTTATGAAAGCTTTAAAATCAGGCAGAAAGACCAGTTCACGTAGTTTCAACTCTTTTATTCCAAGCAAGAGGAGGAGGGTACAGAAAAGCAGAACAGGTAAAAACATAGCAGCAACCAGTCTTTTCCTGGCCTCTAAGGAGAAACAGGACTTGTTTCTGAATATATTAGTACGAGTGACAACCTCTAACTTCTTTCCCTGAGCAGTAATAACATCAGGAGTGTTCATTGGCTTCTACCTTAGTTCTGTCAACATTTAAAACCAGCTTTAGTTGTGAAAGCTGAATCTGGATTACATTCGTTAAATACAGCCTACAATTTGGCCACAGCAGCAGTGATGGATGAGTCGGCACAATATATCACTGTGTCATTGGCATACAAATGAAAATTGGCACAAACCACAATTCGACCAAGACTATTGATATAAATAGAAAAAAAACAGCGTGCCAAACACCGAACCCTGGGGTACACCATTACAAGTGTTGAGCCAGGAGAAGTGAGCCCATCAAACTGAACACTTAGATACCTATCTAAGAGGTTATTCACAAACCAGTCCACTGCCTGGTCAGACATACCCATACTAGTCGACCTCTGTTTTCAAATAAGATGGTCAACAGTATCAAAAGCTTCGGACAGGACAATAAATAGAGCTGCACGGCTCTGCGTCATGTCCAGAATGCCAATGATATCGTTCACTGCCTTCATAGTTTCAGTAATGGTGCTGTGTTGCTTTCTGAAGCCAAACTGTTGTGTAGATAGAATGTCATTATTACATAAAAACGCCTTCAACTGTTCATTTACGAGTCATTTGAGGATCTTTGCTAGAACTTAGAATTATTCTCCTGTAACTGTGCAGGACTCCTGCAGCATCTGACATCTGTTTCACTAAAGAGCTTCACTCAAGATTCTTCAGCCGTGGAAAGTGTGTCCCCGTCTGCAGAGGCAAGTCTCTGTTCTCATTATTAACTCAAAATATATCTTACTATCTGTTGAACAAACTTGCGTCATGATGTGTTTTCAGCAGGCGACGGAGTTTACCAGAAAGGCATGGATTTTATTGTGGAGAAACTAAACAAAGGAGAATGGGTGCACATTTTTCCTGAAGGTATCTTAACCTCATCTTCACATTTCAGTCTTCTTCTTGTCTTGTCCTCTCTCTCTGCAGCTTTTTGATTTAGTTTAAGTATTGTAGAAATAACACACTTCCTCTTTCCTTCATTTAACAGGCAAAGTCAACATGACTGAAGAATTTATACGGTTAAAATGGGGTGAGTACAACAAGTATAATACTGCGCAACATGTTCAGCAAATGTATGTTACAGATTTGTGAAGATCAGCAGAGGAAATGCAGAGTGATTGTGACGTTTTGTATACAGAAAGTTGTACAGAAAGTGATTCTTAAGATCATTTCTGATTTGTGTTTTTAGGTGTGGGTCGGCTAATAGCTGAATGCTCCCTTAATCCGATTATCCTGCCGCTCTGGCATGTGGGTGAGTAACACCACCGCCACAGTACACAGTCCAAAAATATACAATATAATATACAATATCTTCCACCTTATCCTTCAAAAAAGCAAGTGAAAATTGAAGCAATTGCAAAATGATGTCAAGGAGCAACAACAGTGGTCATAAATCAGCAGATGGAATAATCCATCACTGAGGAAACACTGATTACTCCTGTCTGTCCTACTTCTGTCTCAGGTTTGAGTGATGTTCTGCCAAATGCGAAGCCCTATGTTCCTCGGATGGGGAAGGTAGGATCACTTCCATCTAATTCCTGCAGTATTTTTTATATTTGGTTTATCGTGGCTTTTTGTTTCCCGTAAGTGAGTGCAGTTGTAACGGGTGGTTTTCTTCCAGAGAATCACAGTCCTGGTCGGAAAACCATTCAGTGTGAAAGAGCTTGTTGAATCTCTACGAGCTGAAAACAAGAGCCAGGTAAGGACAGACTGTGTTACACATGTACACATTGGGCTGGATAGTAGTGGAGGACTTGTAGTGGTACAATTTATATACTTAAATACTCTAATAATGCGAGCATATTAAATTATTTTATCTTGGAATATAACATATTTTTATGTACAAGTACCTGTTAAAAGTTAAGATTGACAGAGATTGCAGATTTGTAGCTTAGTTAAAAAGATTCAACTGGTAATTAAATTTAGGAAAACCACATATTGGCATCAGCATTTTAGTTCTTTTGCCTCCATGATGGTGATATCTGTAGCCGGTGGTGTTATGTTTTCAAGCTGTCCGTCCCATTCTCGTGAGCCCAATATCTCAAGAACGCCTTCAGGACATTTCCTCAAATTTGGCACAAATGTCCACTTGGACTCAGCAATGAACTCGGAAAGTGGTTTGAGTGATCGTATCGCAATGTGTTTTTGTGGTTGCTGTATTTGGTGCTGTACAGTTGTGATAGGATCACCCAAGACACATGATAATACCAGGTATATTCACATTCATCTTGTTTTGCAAAAACACTTTTCTGGCCATTTTTCAACATCATAACTCAGGAATAAAAGAGAAGACATTTGGTCAGACGTTGAATTGGTGACACTAATAATCCACCTTGAAACTTTGCTATTTGTATAGATCTTCTGTGCTGGCGGTGGGAAGATGTGTATGAAGCATCTATGTTTTAGGATTTGTAGCTTCTTTGCAGCATCATCCATATTTGATTTGATGTAAACTGTAACTGCATCTTGACTGGTTGGCAGAGGCATTCAAACACAAGGCAGTAATTCTAGTTTCTTAATTGATTGTTTTGTCTTGGAAAACAGTTTTATTTTAGTAAAATAGGGGAATAATGGCAATCACAATTTGTCAGAACCCTAGGTGATGTCTTCAAGTTGCGTGTTTATCCAACCAACAGTCCAGATTTCAAAGATATTCCAACACACAACAAAGAAAATCAGCAAATCCTCACATTTGAGAGCAGCAAATATTTTGCTTGAAAAATGACAGAAATGATTAATTAATGATCAAAATAATTTCAGCTCCAGTTGGCATCACTGGTTACAGTTATGAAAGGTTCAACAACCATGTGAGGCTTACCTTAATGTGTTTTGTGTTTAGAAAATAAAAATGTATTCTTTCTTTAAATTTTCCTTCCAGTTAGAAATAAGGAAGACGTTGACTGATTTCATCCAGGGGGAGTTTAGGAGCCTGAAAGCCCAGGCTGAGGCCCTCCACGGGCAGATACAGACCAAATCCTGAGCCCCAGCCGTCCTGCCTGCTGAACTGCTCACAGCCAACAAGAGTGATGATCCTTTACCCTGAGCTGAGGGTAATACCTTTTCTACTGGAACACACACACCTCCACACTGAGATGTCATGGAGCCATAACAAGCTTCTGAACAATCCTTTTTTAAGTGGTGCTGTGGGTTCATGATGGGTGGAAAAACTTAAGGTTGTTTGCATTAATGTTGAGGTGACAGCAACCTCTTTGTAAGTGTCATGTTTTTATTTTATTTAACAAACGCATCATTTAGATGCTGGGACAGACTCTGCCGAGTAGTTTAGAGAAGAGACTGAATTCATACCAGTCAATGCTGTGTGACCTCGAAGCAGCCAGTCGCTGAACTGGTCCAGAAGAGTGAAAGATTGAGAACGTTTGTTGCTTCATTTGGATGCATGAAGTAACGTAAGCGTCACTCATTTAACTGGTCTTTTGACCTGCTCAGTTGTATTTCCCACTGGTACCATCTATCCAGCCCATTGTCCTAATAATAGCGCCTGTATTGGATGATTCCACACCTCATGATTTACATTCACTACCAACATGCAGTGCCAGTGCAGGAAGTAGAGCGTCTGTTATCGGCAAGTAGGTTTTCAAGGAATTTGCTTTGGTATTTTGGTGCCTAAAGATAAATAATAAACAATAACAAAAATCAAAAAATACAATTTAGAAAATATGTCAATCAATCAAACAATCAATCAAAGCCTTCATTGTCATTGCGCAGCTGTACAATAAAATTAGTGTGTCTCCAGTGGTACATTCAGTAAACAGAAACGTCACAGATAAGCAGACACATCAAAGACTATATTAGGTTGGAGCTCTATCTAATTTTTCTAATCTTTCCTGAAATTACACCGGAGTTTAGGGTGTACAATGTTATGAGTGTGCGATGTCACCCCCCAATGTAAATGCCAAGTTTACTGCTTTCCTCAAGCTCTCTTAGCCTTTTCAGGCCAATAAATACCCAAAAGAAACTCTCAAACTGTTACGAAAAGTTATATTCTTACAGCTATTTTCCTTATTCAGCAGAGAAATACAACAGTGCGCCTTTAAATGTCATGTTTGTCTCAGTCACAGAACAAAAACTGGCTTACTTGCCTCGTTAACTCATCATCAAAGGAACTTCACTCAAAATGGACAGAAATCAAATAAAACTCACCCACATCGCTTTGGTTAGTCTGGTTAGTCATCTAGTTAGTTAGTCAACTGTTCCAACAATCACCAACTCCAGTTTGGCTGAAATATAACCTTAATTCACTGAGTTAGATGTAAAAAACATTCTGTTTTTATCCCAGTCTCTCTGCCATTGATGGTCAGTTGCTTACAGTCCTGTAACTTATGCCTCCACCACTCAGTCTCGATGTCTGTCAGCTCAGCTGCCTGTTCCAATAGTAGAGACCAGAGAGTGACCTCTGGTGGCGCGTGCTGTGCACTACATACAAAAAGTTTAATAGAAAGAGAAGCACTTTTTTTCATGATATACTGAAAATCAGACCTTCAGGATTTCTAAATACCCTGATATACAGTAATACCGTGATACTGCCCAAGTCTATACTATATACATGATTATTAAATCAAGAAATAAGTATAAAGTGGGCTATTACAGCAGAATAATATTGCTGTATTGTCATGATAATATTCCACATGCACAGGATATTCCACTAAATTGTCATTGCACTTATCTCACAATGTGGTTATCCACCTCTCTAGTTCTTTAATGGCACTTGGGTCAAAGCTTTTCGGCAATCTGGAAGTGTGAGCTTTTAGGAACCTGTAGCGCCGTGATACTCAACTTAAAGCCCTCGGGCCAGATCTGATAATAATAAAGTAAGGCTGTACCATTTACCAGTTTTGGGGCATTCAAGCTTCATTGAAAAAAATTTGCGATTAATTGAAGCTTCAAAGAAGGGGGTGTCAGTCGTTGCACCTTGTTGGAATATCTGACACTTGACTTTTTGGGAGTTGTCTTTGTAAAATTTGAAACCATTCTCTCTATTTTTCAACATCTTACTAGCATAACTGTAAGCCTGTCGCTGGTGGTCAATCTGTTTGAGTCACAAAACTCGGCTTATCACAAAATTTAAAGTCCTCCTCTGAGAGTTATGTTGGATTACTATTTCTTAATTTTTGGGCTATTTGGATTTTTGGGGTAATGGTATAGAAAAACAAAGCATTTGAATACTGATTTGGACATGGATTACCATGGCAAAGACTGCATTTGAAGCATTTGGGTCAGCCCTAAAAAAATGTGCCAGGAAGAACGTCCTGGACCCCCAACAGAGGTCCGGGCTAAGCTCTGAGTGTCCACATGTACACATGACCCATGCGAGGCTGTGGTGACTGAATTTGTCTTATTTAGTCCTTTTATCTAATAAAAATGATTAAATGATTTTGCAAAAGCGGCCCCTGGGGAAAGCAAGTTGAGTATCTATGCTGTAGCTCCTTCCTTCCTTATCTGTGAAAAGGTGTTGACCTGAATGAGATGAGTCTCTAATGATGTTTGTCATCTGACTGTGACATCGGGTTCTGTAAATGTCCTCTAGTGGTGGTAACTGAGTGCCTTATAGTGCCGACTGTGTGACTCTCTGAAGAGCATTCCTGTCTGCTGTGTAGCTGACAAACCACAACGGCAATGTCGAGGCCTTTGCACACTGAGTCCGTCTTTTTCAGCTGCGTTTTTTTGATGTCATCCAAACTAAAATTGTTAGGCGCAGAAACCTTTCACGCTGATTCTGATGTATTTTATTGTTCTATTCGTTTCTAGTCGTTCTATTCGAAACGACACACATTTCCTCTTTTGCCTCTCTGCACTGGAGTTACCTGTCTGACTGACACCACTCCCTCCCTGTCTTTCATTTGGCACAGCAGCTGCATGAAGGAGCGGAGCTGTCCTCCCTCTCTGTGTGCGGTCCACATCCTCCTCTTCATCATCATGCACCTAAATATTACACTCTGACCTGTTAAAAGTGAACTAACTGAAATATGAAATGATTCCGTGTGTCCTGTTCCTCTGTCTTGTTGCGGCTGTGTCCCGCCGCCACGTTGTCTTCACTGATTCTTCGTCAAACGTCTCTAAAGGCTCTGACATATGCGAAAGAAATCGAACCAGTTCACGAAACTTGATGACAGACAGAAGTTTTGAACTCAGTGTGCAAACATGATTGACACAATGTGAGATTAGATGTACGACAATTTCAGGAAAAAAAGGACTCAGTGTGTAAAGGCCTTAACTCTTAAAAGTGAAAGAGCTAGGCAGGAATGTGCAGATTCATATTTAAGGGGATGTGCAAATACTCACAGTATTAAGAATATAAAGAATAAACAGTGCAAAATAAGGATGCAGAGATCAGGGTGGAGCCCTAATACATTGACTTATGGCTGGGTGATATAGAGAAAATCAAATATCACCTTATATTTTGCCATAAACCTTCACATCAATATCAATCAGTTAATTAAATTTTATTTATAAAGCCCAATATCACAAATCACAATTTGCCTCACAGCTGGTAAGGAAAAACTCACCAAAAAAAACCTTTAACGGGGAAAAAAAACCTATCAATATAGCAAAGACCACCTATTGGTGCTTTTACAAAATATTTACACAATGAGGTTTTTTTTAAATAACCACCAGTAATGTGGATTTAATGACTTATAGGTAAAGGCTAGGGTTGCAACTAAAGATTCTTTTCATTGTCAATCAGTCTATTGTTTTTTTTTCTTTGATTAATCGATAAGTTGTTTGGTCAAAAAAATTGTCTGAAAATAGTTAATGATGTTGATGGGTGTTCTCCAAAGCCCAGTGCACAGTCCACAGCCCAGAGATATTCAGTTTACTGTCCTAGAGGAGTAAGGGCTCATTTATGCTCAACATTAGATACAGAGACGGAGAAAGACAGAGCCTTTTTTTCCATAGTCTGCGTTCATTTTGTCTGTAGTTGCGCATATTTTCTGAAAGTTTATGGATACCGACAAAATGGAGCAGTACCACTGGAGTGCAGCATAGTTCAAGTGTGATTTGATCGTAGGGGACAAAGAAGAAATTTTAAATAATGGCAGAACGAACAAATCGGTAATAAAGTAAAAGAATTGGCTATCCATGTGTCGCGATGTATATAATGGCCCCACAGACCACTGCTGTCTACAACACTGCCTCCATTTAAAGGTAAGGTCATCTATTGGCTGTATCTATGACATCATAAAGGACGCATGGAAGTATGAGGGCAATGACGATTACAATGCATGTAAGGCCTTTCAGCCTTTAAGGAACCAAAAAATATCAGGGTTCCCACACATTTTAATTTTTTCAAATTTGAAAACCATTTTAAGGACCCTTAATAAAAAAAAAAAAACATTTTCTCACCCCACTTGCTCTGCATTTTTAAAACATATCAGATTCAAACTTATTGGAACATAATTTCAGCAAGCTGGCATACATAAAGAGAGAAAGGAAACATAGGTAATGGTTAACTAAACATCACACGTCAACGCCTATTAGAGCTACGTTATGTCAACAACTACAGAAAATGAATTTGCCATTATGTTACATTACATGGAAGGTTATCAAAGGAAGATTAATGTAACAATTACATTCCATGCATCAGAATTCCCTGACTTTTCCAAAACTTTAAATGATTTTTACTAGGGCTGCCCTTGAAAGTCAGCGATTCAAATCATCAGTCAGAGACCCCCTCTAGTGACTGAATTTTTTTTTTTTTTTTGCTGATCAGTGTGCTGTGCCGTGTACTTCTGGGTATGGTTTGGTTCCTAGATTTTGCTGCAGAGTGAGCACTCTTGACTTTCAAGCTACTCTTTGGTAGCGTACATGATGCAGTGGCACAGAGGAGGAGCAACTCTGCACTGTAAGGCTCTGAGATAACATTATCTTCTCTCTTCTGCTCAGAAGGGGTGAATTTACAGCTCATAGACACTTAATATGACACAGTCTGTGGCTTTTATTTGATTTCTAGTGTCGTCAGAAAATGTTGTTGCACATTTGTGATCCATCATTAGCACTGTTAGCTTGTTTACTGTATTACATGAATACTGCTGTCACACTGAACATCCCACTGAGCCCCATTCAAACTTTAAAACTTTATAAGGGAAAAAAACAAATTGTAGAATATTCGTAATAAACAGCCAAATCTGGGTAACATAATTCTGAGTCGGGTACAGCCCTAATTTTTACTAAGTCTGTGATTTTTCCAGACCTGGAAAATATGATCGTAATATTCCATGACTTTTCCAGGTTTTCCATGAGCCTAGAATCCCTGAAATATTCACATTTAAGAAGCTGGAATCAAAGAATTTTCCTTGTTTTTTTTGTTTGTTTAATTACTTTAACTGATTAATCAACTGTCAAATTAGTTGGTGATTAATTTAATAGTGGATGATTAATCGATTAATCACTGAAGCCATAGTAAAGGCAAATAATAGAACAGTTAGAACAATCTCGAATGCAGCCTCGTAAACCAGGAAAAAACACATACAATATTAGGATACCCGAAATCTAAGACTATATAGAGCCTCATATCACTATACTGTTATATTGATACATTACTCAGCCCTACATTGAATGGCTATTGCAAAAGATGTGCTGACCAGAAATAGTAATAAAATTTTGATTTCATCAAAATATTAAAGATTAAAAACTAAACCAGGTGTTTTGGTTGCCTTATCCTAATCATACCTCAGCTGTAGTTAAGTTACTATTTTACCTGCAAGAATTTTAAAAATGTTGACACTGAATTTAAAAAAAGAAAAAAAAAATACTTATTGAATATAATCCCAACATCTACAAAATTTTTACTAACGTTGTTGTTGGTGTTTGGGTTGCTTCAACCTGTTACCCCATTTTTAGGAGTTTAAATACTAAGTATTAGCATTTGTAATCTAGTAAAGAGGTTAATCAGCACTGTACTGCACAGATAACATTCACAGCTGTCAGAAACAGGCAGGCAGAGAAAATGATTGCTGGGATATTATAATGGTGATTGTACCATCATGTATTTTGCTTTTGTTATTCTGGACTGCTCTGCTCAGTGATACTGTCCATAACATCACCATGTGTCCCAGTCTGTCTTTGTACTCCCTCTTCTACATTCAAATTAAGTTTGCAAATCACTTCTCAGTACTGTAGATAATTTCTTTGTCAGATGAAGTTTTGAAATACAAGGTTTTCTGTAGATCCTTTTCAACCTCTGAATGCTACCCTGTTTCAGATGTATATAACTTATTTTATCACAGAGATGAATGGCTTTTATAAGAGAGGAAAGGCCACAGCTGAGTTATCTGTGGTTATTTTATAAATGTTTCGCCTTACTGTGATTGCCACTCTTTCCTATTGTAAGTGAATGCCAATAAATATTCAACTTTTCTAAATTTGAATTGTGTATCGTGATACCTAACCCCCACCTATCAATCCTGCTGGACTGACCAAAATAAGACACAGCAGCCAATGATGGCACCATGTCATGTTAGATATATAAAAATATGGTTCAGTAGTTTAGTTTCATAGTAAAGCACTACATCATATTTCATAAGCCCCTCATTTAATTGGCTTGTAAAATCTTAATATAAAAAGAGTGTTCAGATCAATTGATGCCCTTGTCTGCATGACTGTAAGGGTATTGAAATAAATAGCCTAAATAAATATAAGTAAAAGATATGCTACTGTATGCTACTTTGTCCTTTTATTTAAAAATTATGAGAGGTGTCCCCTTTTTTGTCCCCCAAAATGTCTGTGCACGGAAATGCGTTAACAGTAGTCTGCCTCACTTCTCACCATCAGCTTTTCCTGTCATACCTGGTGCTGGTGCTTCTTCACTTTTTTTTTGCCATTTTTTTGTCTTTTTCATCTTACCCCTTGCACCGCACCATTTCACAATACCTGCACAATACCTTTTCATGGGCTCCCATGTGGCCTTAGGCTGGGGTCATCTGTACCCTTTGATCCCTGACAGTGGGCTTGAATACAACTGCAAAGAAATACTTGATTAATAGAAAAAATCCTGTTTTAAAACATACTTAAAATACTGAAAGTAAAAATACTCATTCTGATTCAGAATGGTTGAATTCAGAACAAAGTTTATTGTATTATAATATTAAGATTATTGATACGCTTTGCTGATTCTCATCCGAGGGTCATGTCATTTTGGCAGCCGGCTGAGCAAGGTAAACCAGACGTCATTTCCCCTGTGATTCCCCTTAATTATTTACAGGATATTAAAATTAATAATAAATCATTCTACAGTTTAAAACATTTTAAAATGTACTTTACCAACACCAACTCATGTCAGTTTCACTAAAACAGACATGATTTAACTTCTGATTTATTTAGTTATGGGATAAACTAAATCACCAAGACGGTTCATAAAAATCACAGATAGAGAAAATAAGTCAAGTTAGCGAGCATTAGCAAAGACTAAATCTCACTAGTTAGCTTTCACCATATAAAGCATCAGCTCTCCAGTTGAAGCTGTCTAGTTGTGTTTCTCTCTGTGACATTTAAATGCTGTTTTAACAAAGGGTTTAAATTTCTATGGCATAATCATTTTGATCTGGTAAAGCAGAAGCCAAGAAGTGAGATTCTGGTCTTAACTCAGTTTTGACAGAATATGTAGTTTGTAACACACTTTGTCTTTGTACAGCAGAACACTCCTGCCAAATGTTTTAAAGTATGAAAAAGTGGATCCCTTGTAGAATGAATCTTTCTAATGTAATGGAAATGTCACTGCCTTTAAATGACTAATGATCATTCACTACAGAGTGTGGTCACTGTTTGTTTGTGGCTGTAGTCCAACAACATGGCAGGCCTGTCAGACATGTTTTTGAAAACAAGGAAAACTGCTGAGTTATTTGCCTAATATGTAAATAATTGTTTAGTCAGAAAACTTTCCATGACGTTAAAATGATAGTGAGGTATTGTGAGGCGTTTGTGTTGAACATCAGGAGCTATTTCAACAGCTGCAAGTCTGAAGTCACGCATTCAACAAACTGAGAGCGAACAAGATGGACACAGTTCTTCTGCTCATCACAGCAGGTCAGTGTTTGTTTTATCAATGTTTATTCTTCTGTTACAGCACTTTGATATATCCCTGTGTGGTACACATTATGATGCCAGTTGGGGAAAAAAAAAGTTTTATTTGTTTTTTCTAAATGAAATAGACCAAGTAAACATAATTTAAAGACATTTTCTATTCATATTTTACAGGGGTACACTTTTGGGTTTGTTACCTTGAAGCAACACAGTACCATGATGGTAAGAAATTAAACAACAGTTATTGTTATTGTTTAGAACTGTAATGCAATTTAATATAATGCTAATGGAAAACATTTCAAAAACCTTTAAGTTTAAGATTCATTATGGTTATCCTCACCCTTGTATGCAGTGTGGTAGGCCAAATAGTGGTGTCACTTGAGTGTCTTGTAGATTTGCCTCTCCTTGCAGTGTAGATTGCAGTGTTAGGGCTCACAGTGGGCTCACGTGGTGGTAATTATTGGGGTCTGGGATTCAATCTCCCCGTGGTAAGTGCCCTGCCGACTTACTTACTACATCGAATATTGGCTTTCCATTTTATATTGTAGTTTGTACATTTTATATGTTAAAAGTTTTAGACATTTATTAATATTGTCAAATAAGTTATTTGTCCTAAACTTACAATTCTCTTTTTCTCAGGACTCCAGCAGCAAAAATTGTATTTTTTTTTTTAAATAAACACTCGTGAACCAAATGCACATGTCCTGCTCTCTTTGAACCTGTAAAATTATATTTTGTCACCACGTATGAGGTTAGGGCCGATAACGACCCATAGGTTTATATAGACATTGCATTGGTCTTAAATACTGTTTGGCCACATTTACATCAATAATTTATCAAACCAAACTATCATAAGACGAGAAGAGTTATATTTCAGTGTCTGATCATTTCTTTTACATTTGAATGCTTGTTTTCACAACAGATGAAAAAAGAGAGACCGGAGATGTTTCATTGTACCAAACTCGAACATTTCAAGCGTCAGCGATGTAACTTTAAGAATGAACACGTTTGTTCCTGGAAATCGCAGGCTTTACTTCATCAAGTCCAAAAAATGTTCACTGTGTGAGCTTTTGCACCATAATGAGGCAGATACTCTATCATTGCTGGAGGAGGTGATGACAGGTGTATTGCTCAGGGAGGGAAGTGTTGAGACAAAAGTTGTTTGGATGATGTACCAGAGGCCGAGCAATCAGTCCATTCAGGACAGGCACATTTTAAAAGGGCACTGCACTAATTCATTGAATTAATGCATCGTTGAGCAGCTGAGAGTTTGGAAAGCAGCAGGGAAGATTTGGAAGCAATTCAGGGACGATTTTCTGTTGATGGGAGATCAAATGATCTTATGCTTATTAGTTTCTCTTCCAAATCTGAGATCAGGTCACTGGTGTGAAATGTTAACCCCTCCCATCAGTAAAACTCTCTGGTTGATTCTTTACTTTAAAGTCTCCTTTACAGAAGTTTTGGTTCCATGAAAACCACCATGTTACAACAAAGCTTCCTATTGTTACTGTGTGAGCTCAGCATAACATGTCAATCAATGTAGATTTTAGGTCAGCTTCTTTGTCCTTTGTCTCTGAGTCTTTGATGAAAGCCAGAGATCATCCTGACCATGGGATACTGGCCCTTAAAAGCAGATCGTATCTGATGAACTGGCAGCTTCGTCACCAGTTGGCACTCAGCACTCTGTGGTTCATCAGCGTGTCTTAGCTGACCTGTGTTCTGACCCAGAGGTCACATGTCCTCTGTGAAAGATGGAGAATTCAAATCATCATATTTGCAACACCTGAACAAGTAAAGGCCTATGATCCTCAAAATAAACTCATCTAAATAAAGGTGTAATATTCAAATAATTGTTACTGGAACCAATTTGCATGATACCAAGGAACTGTGCACTGTTCAGGTATAACAGAGCTATTTCAACAGCTACAACACTGAAGTCACGCATGCAAATAAAGAGAGCAGTAAACAACAGTAAACAAAGTGTGCACAGACAATTTGCCTGGAACCAGTTTGCATGATCCCTGGGAACTGTGCACTGTTCAGGTGTAACAAAGAGCTATTTCAACAGCTACAACACTGAAGTCACGCATTCAGACAAAGGAAGAGCAGCAAACAACAGCAGACAGAGATGGACACAGTTCTTCTGCTCATCATGGCAGGCAAGTGTTTTATATGTTTTATGGTCTTTCATTACAGACTTGTGTTCTCGTGGTTTTGGTATGTGTCCATTGTCTTGTCTTTTGTGTACATGTAACTTTTGCCGCCAGTCTTGCCCAGGACTCCTTGGAAGAAGAGTTACTGTATCTCAATGGGACCCTTCCTGGCTAAATAAAGGTTAAATAAAATTACAAGTACACTGATATATTGTTGTGGCTACAGAGCTCTTATCAGAACAATATCATGATGCACTTCAGTTATATGATAAGGAACATTACATCCTTCAGTTTATCACAAACATTTAAAATCAGCACATCTTATATAGTATAGTTAGGGCCGGCTCAGGCTTGCCTTGGACCAGCCCCTAGTTAGGCTGACTTAGGCCTAGTCTGCTGGGGCACCTACTGTTATTATACACATATGATTATTGTCACACATGTATACTATCAGATATTAATATACTTTCAACATATTGTACCACAGTAACCAGAACTATAATTATAATATTATTACTTTCATTAATGTTGTTGTAAGTTACTGTCATTACCGTCTGTCCTGCATCTCTCTCTCTCTCTCTCTCTCTCTCTGTCTCTGTCTCTCTCTCTGTCTCATTGTGTCATACGGATTACTGTTAATTTATTATGTTGATCTGTTCTGTACGTCATCTATTGCACGTCTGTCCGTCCTGGAAGAGGGATCCCTCCTCAGTTGCTCTTCCTGAGCTTTCTACCGTTTTTTTCCCCGTTAAAAGGTTTTTTGGGGGAGTTTTTCCTGATCAGCTGTGAGGGTCATAAGGACAGAGGGATGTCGTATGCTGTAAAGCCCTGTGAGGCAAATTGTGATTTGTGATATTGGGCTTTATAAATAAAATTGATTGATTGATTGATCTATTTGGAGCGTTGGAAATGATTACAGACAGTTTTCAATATTTTCTGACATCTTCTAGATCAGATTAGAATGAATAAAAATACATTTTATAATGTAAGATACTGTTACATAACACACAACAAAGATGAGATAAATCTGAAGGCAATTCCAGTGGGAAAAAACACCTTTTAAAAAAGATGAGCTTTGATGTTTTTAAGAATCTTTAAAATCAGTTTTTTCTTTCTAGAAAATGTGTTGTTGTCTCCCTGTAATGTTTTTAGAATACTTTAAATGAATCATGTGGAAATATGTATCTTTCTCATGC